CTGTAGCCAGTAGAATATACAGAAAATGTTAATTCACATCTGTCAAATGCAAATACTGTTAAGAGGATTGAAATGTCATCAGAAAGAAGATATGTCACTCCAAAACGTTTGGTATACAGCTAAAACATATTTTAGAGGATTAGCCATAACTTACATGGCGAAAAAGAATAAGGAAAAAAAAACAAGAAATGAAGCTAAAGGAAGAATTTATAAAATTGGAATTAGAACTACAAAGAGACCCACAAAAGAAAACTCTTAAAAAACAAATGGAGACAATAAAACATAAATTACATTTAGTAGAAGCTGAAAAAATGGCCCAACAAATTAAAAGAGCAAAACAAAACTTTTTTTTGAAAATGCTAACAAGCCAGGTAGATGGTTGGCTTATTAATTGAAAAAAGAAAGAGAGAAAAAACTAATAAATAAATTGTGAAATGTGAAAGGTGATTTACGATTTCAAAATGATACAGTAAAAAAAAGAGAATTTTATGAAACACTCTATGATATATAAGAAATTTCCCAGGAAAAAAAATAATGCAATATATACATATATAAGCTACCCAAAATTTCAGAGAACTTTAAAAACATGTTCAATGGAAAAATAACAATGATGGAGCAGATAGAAGCTATTAAAAGACAAAAAAATGACAAGACACCAGGTCCAGATGGGCTACCGATAAAATTTTACAACTGTCTACAAGACATATTAAGCCCATCAATGAAAGAAGTGTGTAACAAAGTATTATTAGAAGCCAAAATACCAAATATGTGGATAAACGCCAATATTACTTTAATATCAAAAGAAAACTCAGACCTGACCCAGATTTCTTTAATGCCAACTATGTCATACCCTCCCTCATATACTGTTGCTTCTAGTTCACCCTGTTTGTTCCCCAAGTTTTGAGCATTTGTATATAAGCATTTAAGACTTTTATGCCTGTCCGTGGGTATGTTTCCTGCATCTCCTGATTGTTGTTTGGTTTTTTCTTTTTTCTTGTCTTTGCCTACCTCATTGTTTGATTTGTTTTCTTGGTATTTATTATTAGTTTTGAGTTCTCGAGATTCTAGAGATTGGTCATCCTCCCACCTCAATTTTAGTTTAAAGCCCTCCTGATGAGTTGAGCCAGTCCTTTTCTGAGTACATTTTCCCCTGTTTTCGTGAGGTGCAGCCCATCCCTTGCCAAGAGTCCTTCGCGTAGGAAATGCAATCCATGATCCAGGAAACCAAAGTCTTCCTGGAGACACCAACCCTTTAGCCAGTGATTTATTTCTAGAACTTTTTTTCCCTCAGTGGGTGTTGGCCTTTCGTTGGGAGTATGTGTGAGAACATGACTTGTCCTCCTAGCTTCTTAACTTTATTGCCTAGTTGTTTGTAATCTCTCACTGTTGTACTCAGGTTCTTTGTGGTGTCATTTGTCCCAATGTGGAGGAGGAGGAAAGGGTAGTAATCAGTAGATCTAATTATTTTGGTTAAGTTCTCAGCCACATCTTTGATTTTTGCTCTAGGGAGAAAACATACCTCCCTGGATTGTATGTCCGGTCTGCAGAAGGATGATTCCATTCCTTTGAGGATAGACTCTCCTATTACCAACATTCGCCTTCCTTTTTGTGGGGGCTGCAGTCTGGGGTGCTTTTCTGTTTATCTCTGGTTTGTTTGTTGATGTGACTTTTTAAGGGATATTTGAAGTGATTTTTTAAGGGATATTTGAAGTTGTTTCTTTGTTAGGCATCTTCATGTTTTCTTTGAGGGGGAGATTGTGAGTCTGCGTGTTTCCATTTAAGGGGAGAAATCAATTGCTCAATTTTAGTGGGGCTGTTTCTGGTTGGGTTGGGTTGGGCAGAAAGGGTTTGTTAGTTGTATGCTGCTTTTTTCTTTGAGTATTGTGTTTCCTTCTATGTGTGACTTACCTCCATTTGTCTTCCTCCAAGGTAGGGTTAAATCCTTTGGGAGTTATTTGTTCATTAATTGGTTTGGTTTGGGTAGAGCTTTCTTTTGTACATTGCTTCTCCCACAAAATTGTGCTGTACCATCCCAGCAGTGTAAGTGAACCCAGATCATTACCCAGAAGCATCAACAGTAGGAAGAAGGGGAAATCTGCAAGATATGGCAGATGCCCTTTTAGTAAATGCATATCTTCTCCTTCTCCTCTTTTTCCTCCTTCTCTTCCTCCTCCTCTTCCTCCTCCTCCTCCTCCTCCTGCATTCACAGCTTCTGGAGGCAGGTTGTTCAACTGATTAATTGTTCTAACTGTCAGGAAATTTCTCCTTAGTTCTAGGTTGCTTTTCTCTTTGGTTAGTTTCCATCTGTTGCTTCTTGTTCTGCCTTCAGCACTTTGGAGAATAGCTTGATTCCCTCTTCTATGTGGCATCCCCTGAGATATTGGAACACTTCTATCATGTCACCCCTCATCCTTCTCTTCATTAAACTAGACATATCCAATTCCAGCAACCGTTCCTTATATGTTTTAGGCTCCAGTCCCCTAATCATCTTTGTTGCTCTTCTGTGTAGTCTTTCTAGAGTCTCAACATGTTTTTTACATCGTGTTGACCAAAACTGGATGCAGTATTCCAAGTGTGGCCTTACCAGGGCATTGTAAAGTGGTATTAACACTTCACATGCTCTTGATTCTATTCCTTTGTTAATGCAGCCTAGCACTGTGTTGGCTTTTTTGGCAGCTGCAGCACACTGCTGGCTCACATTTAAGTGATTGTCTACTAGGACTCCAAGGGGATAGTTGCTATTATTGAGCAAGTTGCTATTATTGAGCAAGATATCACCTATACTATGCCAGTGCATTTGGTTTTTCTTGTCTAAAAGTAGAACATTACTTTTTTCACCATTGAATTTCATTTTGTTAGCTAGCAACCAATGTTCAAGTCTGTCAAGATTCTTTTGTATCTTAAGCCTATCTTCTGGAGTGTGGGCTATTCCTGCCAGCTTGGTGTTGTCTGCAAATTTGATGAGTTCTCCATATATCCTCTCATCCAAATCTTTGATGAACATGTTGAAGAGCACTGGGCCCAGAACAGAGCCCTGGGGCAACCCATTACACATTTCCCTCCATGTAGTGATGCTGTCTAACCCACATGTTTCTATCTTATCAAGTTGTAGGTTGTGGTCTACTTTATCAAATGCCTTACTGAAATCCAAGTAAATTATATCTACAACATTCCTCTAGTCCACTAATTGGCACCTGCTCAAAGAATGCAATAAGATTTGTCTGGCATGATCTGTTTTTGACAAACTCATGTTGGCTTTTGGTAATGACTTTGTTTGCCTCTAGGTGTTTGCTGTTTCATTGCTTGATTATCTTTTCCAAGACCTTCCCTGGAATTGAGGTCAGGCTGATAGATCTGTAGTTTCCTTGATCCATTTTTTTCCCTTTTTTGAAGATGGAAACTACTGTACATCAGCTCTTTTCCAGTCCTCTGGTAGTTTCCCAGTGCTCCAGGATCTTTGAAAGATATAGTTCAGTGGTTCTGAAACCAGTCAGTGGTTTTGAGATAATGTAAGATCTTCTGATGGATATGTGTACATTAAAGCCTGCATGTGATGGACCAATGGTTTAATATATTTTAGATATAATGGGCTTTTAAAAATGAATTCATCTTCAACACTAGTGGTCCATCTTCCAATAAATAAAGGATTTTCCACTTAAAGGTTTTTGTTAGAATGATATGTTTATGCAATTATGTGACTATACAAATGGTATAATTAAACAAAAATAATTTAAATTTAACTAAGATTTGTTAAAGGATATGTTATCTTTGTTCCTAAAAAAATATTTCCATTTATATGTTAGTTTTATTTTTAACATTTTTCCAAGATGATCTGTTACAGGTAGTCCTTGATTTACAAAAAGTCTTTTGTTTAATGACTTTTCAATGTTATGATGCCCTTGAAAAAAGTACCTTATGACTGGTCCTCACATTTATGACCATTGCAGTGTCCACATATTCACATGCTTAAATTTTTTGACACTTTGCAACTATCATATATTTACAACAATTGCAGTTTCCTGTCAGGCAATCAGCATTTGTGACCTTCCCAGTTGGCTGAAAAGCTGGATTTGTTAATGACCATATAATTCATTTAACTACCATGGCAAAATGGTAGAAACACATCTCCCTCTGTGAGAGATATGGGTGGTTTCTAAGTTTGATAAATAAAATAAAAGTGAAATAGGTATTAAAAGGTATTAAAACTGGGCAGTTTTAATATCCACTTTAATATCCACTTTAATATCCACTTCTCTTAGGGACAGAAGTTATAATTCTAATTGTGATTGCAAGTCAATGACTAACTATATATTAATAGGATTAAATAAAGATATTTTAGTTGATTTAGTAACACCTATTTTTTTCTTTTACATGGTAGAATTTAAAAGTTCTCAAGGTTTGTTATATAAATTATGAAGTTGTCTCAAATGGTTCTCTTGATATTCATGTTCAACGTTTTTTAAAAAACGAAATTATTTTTACATTAGGTTGATGTGCATCATTGCTTCTTGATCTGAGAAGGTTTCATGAGTATTGTATTGAATATTTTATTAGCTGCAAAGTTGAAAAAGTTAGACATTTGTTATCTCCTCTATAATTATAAAATTAACTATGATTATTTATGCACTTGTTCCAAATCCCACAAGACCTACAAACCCATGTTGTAAAATTTGATTACCATTCCCAATGGCAATCCAAGTTATTTGTCAGTTGATCATTGATAAATGGACAATGAAAACCTGCCCTGATAGAGAAGAATGACATTAGGAGGATATTGTATCAGACATGCTCACATTCTGAATCAAGGATTTGTTCCTTAATTATTTATCCATATAACTGGATTCTCTGCATTTCACAGTAAATTTCTAGGATTTTAGGCAATGTCTTGTAAAACTGCAATTCAATTTTCTGGTGAATGAGAGGAGGCAAGCAGACAAACATATTAATTTATTATTGAGATATTAACTATAGTTGTTTTATTGGTGGTGTTAGTAGTAACAATGCCTCAAGCAGTGCACAAGGTTCCTGATATTAATTGCAATGTTATTGATCCTCTTCCTATTCTTCACAAGTACTCTCAGCCTGGAGATATGACCATTGCCAGCATTATTTCTCAAGTCTATACTTTTTCCAGTCCAATTCTTTTTGATCGTCACCCTTCCAGTGAACTTCAGGATGAAGTGATGTAAGTTGTTCATTTCTTCCCACATAAGATTTCTACACCATCATTAATTCACATGACACGAAGGGCAATTTAGTTTGAACTGATAGAATACATTGTATTCACATATACTGTATCCTCATCTTCATAAGAGGGATAGTTTATACTCATCATTCTCTATTTTGTTATTCAATTTCTATGATTGTTCAAGTATGACTTTATCCCAAAGCTCAACATTCTAACAGTTATGCTAATGCCACAATAATCCATGAATGAATAAGGGCAAGATCTATTTCTAACAATTCTTAGGTGTTGTTCCTAAGCAAAACTTTCTGAAATAGCTTTATATAGCTCAGTGTTTAGTTAATTGGGCCTGGTTCTCACTGAAATCTAAAGATCCATAGCCAGAAGTCAATTTTGCACTGAGTTCAAAGTACCTCAAGCACTTCTGTTGATTGGAAATCATTGCTTGAGGTTTATTTGTGGAACATGAACCCAGCTGTATCCTAAATAATTTCCAAATAATAATAATGTCATGATTTCCAAGTTTATTTTTCCATTTTACTTTTCAGTGATAAGCAGAATTATATATTGTAATACACTTTATGAAGTAATGTGATGTAGAACTGAAACATAATAGGTGTTGCAGTCTTTAATAAAGAATTTGATTTTCACAATAGGGTTGTATTTCAGAGTTACCAATACGTTCTGGCTCTGGTTTTTGCTGTGAAGCAGATCAGTGAAAATCTCCAGATCTTGGCCAATGTCACTCTTGGATTCAACATCTATAATAGTAATTTTAGTCCAAGCTGGACCTTCCTTGCTTCAATGAGACTTCTTTCCATGCAAAGCACATTCATCCCAAACTACAAGTGTGATTTGGGAAACATTCCTATTGCAGTAATTGGAGGACCTGACATCTGTCTCTACATGTTGAACATTCTGTCGATCTACAAAATTCCACAGGTATTCCAGGATCATATAAATTTCTCTCAGTTCCCATTATAACTAGTTGCAACTTTTTAGAAGCACTGTGTTTGATACATAGGAAAAGGTTAATTTAAATTCCAAGGGTAATATTTCAATATGAGATTAGACTTTAGGGATTCAATAAACCCTTTAAAAGAAATGGTTCAAAATGTATAATAAAATGGACAAAAGTCTCTCTTTACGAATCATTAAAACAGCTGCATGTTTTTCCAGGCTCTTATAGCTCCTGTGGAAAGCGATCAAGGCAGTATCTGCAAAGTATCTGTTTGAAGGAAAAAATATGTATTACAAAGCATCAGTTTCTTTTTAAAAATTAAAGGTTGTCATTCATTTAGAGAAATGGATACTACATGTTATTTTTATTAATATAAATCACAGGTAAAGTACACATTCTGACTCAATATCTGTGTCTGCCTAGGTATGACAAAGAACCCCCCTTTTGGAAAGATAGTTAAGGGGTTCTTTGGAATGAAATAACCGTAGTCATTTGCAATCCAGAAGTGGTCATTTTTCATCCTTAATCTTCCTACACATATTTTACAAAAAGGTTCTCCAAACCGTTACCCTTAGCTTCTTAGAGGACCATAAAAAGATGGTTAGCTCCATTATTCCATACTTTGCATGTTTGATATAATGACCTCATTTGGGAGTCCTCTAGAATCTTAATGTAAGGACCTGCCCCAGCTAGTCCCTCAGGAAAGCAAAACTCTTGAATCCATTGAGTTGAATCAAAAGAACTTTTACTGAGTGAAAGTGATTACAGTAAAGTCGGGCAGAATCTGAAGGTCCCGCACAAAGCACAAAGCAATTCCATCATTTTCCCCAATCCCAATCCTCCTGACCAGTCCACCAGTAGCCAATGTGATGCTGAGAAGATGTTTTGAGAATGCTGAGGTGCTAGGCAGATAACAGGTCACTCTCAGGGTAGAGCAGCCTTGGAACCATGCTGCAACTGGCTAGGAGGGAGTCTGCCCCATCTCCAAGAACAATCCCATTTCCTATTTCCCAAGTATGCACCTGACACAATAGCATCCCAAAAATGCCAGCCTCCCTCCCTCTCCAACAGGTAGGACCTGTTGATGGACCTGACACTTATATTATATTAGTTAGTTGTTCTTCCATTTCATGTTGCAGGTATTAGTCTCCAAATCTGAAGATTTCTTAACAGAACAGAGTCTGAGAATATTGAAGAGAACAGTAGTGGAAAATGCTAGTGGAAAATATCAAGAATGTTCCTCTAACGTAAAACCAACTTAGAACATATGTCAAACATCTAGGTACTAATTGTCCAGTTGATTGCTGTCTTGGTCACCCTTATTTGGCTCACATGGGATGTTAAAGCCTCCTGCCAAAATTTGTGCACTGTACCACATTCACACAAGTTCTGAATTGAAGCCTGGGTTTGAGCTGGCTTGATGTTTAGAAAACAGCAATAAAATTTGGAAAGTATACTTTTATTCAAACCAAGAGAAGAAGACACTAACACAACTTTTCTTTTCTTTTGGTTTCTTTTACAAAATTATCTAGCTCACATATGGCTCTGCTCCAGTAATGAATAAAGAAACCCAAGATGTATTTTTACAGCAGATGTTCCCCAATGAGGCCTTACAACACCAAGGAATCCTTCTGTTGCTATTATATTTCAGGTGGACATGGATTGGGCTTCTTTCCGTGAAAGACGAAGCAGGAGAAAAGTTTGTACAGGATGTAGTCCCCAAGTTTTCTCAGCATGGAGTCTGCTTTGATTTTATGGAATGGTTCCCAAACGTAGCTTTTTACAGTGATTTTATGGAAGTGATGGATAAAGGACTTGAATTATATGAAGTTCTCATGAAAAGCACGACCAATGTGATAATTGTTTTTGGTGAACTTCGGACCATGTTAATTTTAAGAACACTTCTCCGTTTTTCAGAAGTAGAAGATTTAGGACTGAGAGAAAAAATCTGGGTTATGCCAGCACAAATGGATTTTGCATCAGTATCCTTTAACAGAAACTGGGATATATGTTTCATCCATGGTGCTTTATCTCTCTCCTCTCATTCAAAGGAAGTGTTTGGATTCCAGGAATTTCTTCAGAGCAGAAATCCAACAAAAGAACCACATGATGGCTTTATCAGAGACTTTTGGGAGCAGCTGTTTGATTGCTCATTTTCCAATGCTAAAAAAAGAATTAAAAGGCCTGAGAACATCTGTACTGGAAAAGAGAAATTGGAGACTCTCCCTACTTCTGCTTTTGAACTTAACATGAGTGGCCATAGTTACAATGTGTACAATGCTGTCTATGTCATGGCACATGCTCTGCAATCAATGCATTCTTCTAAATACAAGCAAAGAAATTGGGTGAATGTGGAGAAGCAGAAATTTCAGGATCTACAATCATGGCAGGTAAGTCTACAGCAGAAAACATCAGAACAATTTATAGTATTTGTAACTTTTGACTTAAGTTTTGAAAAATTATCCATAACAAACTCTACTTGGTTTTTTTTTCTTTAAATTCAATCTGCAAAAGTCACTCAATATTCTCAATACAACCCTAAAAGACACAATGAATAATTATATGCATACCCATACAAACAAGCCTAAATATGCTCATAAATACAAAGAGTATATCCAAGAACGTTGTGACCCTGTGACTTTAAACATGTTGTAATATGAGATAAACACTATATAAAACCCACCAGTGGACATTAGGAGACACATCGGGATTGAGAGATTTCTCTGCGTTCTTCTTCAGCACCGAATACTGTTTATTTCAGAGTCTCCACCCTGGTATATTCAATTAGACATGCCAATCAAGTTATTTGCCAAATGCTTTTTGTAATTCTCCACATATGCATAAAACAACACACTTCATAAACAAACCATGCATCTGGAGAATAGACACATAATACCTGGAACAAGGACTGAAGAACAATTCAAGATGGAAAAGATATGCCATCAGCTGGGAAACAGAAAGTCCAATATACTCTGGGCAATAAGTGTCCTTACAAATAACATGAACAATTATAGTGCAATCTTCTCATTTGATTAGTTTGAATAGCACAGCCAGTGATAGATTGCTATGGATGGTTTCCCAAGATTCCTCCAATCAATGATTCACAACACATTCCTTACAAGCACACTTTTAAAATTTCTGAGCAAAAAAAAAAGGACTATCAAACTATTAATTCTTTCTAGGTAGAATGTCCAGAAGCACACAGATGTCCTGAGCAAGGACTAAAAAGTATCCATGAAGAAAAAGTCTCATTGAAAGAGCCATCAGAAGATTCAATTTCGCCCATGAAAAACTGCATGTTCTCATCCTCTCATGTCTGAAGAACCACAACTAATTCCAGCTAAAATGTGAATTGTTGTCTAGTTACTGTTTAAGCAACTAGTCTTCAAATAGGAACCTTTTAAGTTCTTACATATTAAATTGAGATTTACTGGAAATGCATTAAATTTACCTTTTCTTTATATTTCTGTCTCCAATTTAGCTTTGCCCTTTTCTGAGTAGTGTCTCCTTCAACAATAATGTGGGTGAAAAGATCTCTTTTGATAGATATCGAGAATTTATTGGAGGATTTGATATTATAAATTGGAACACTTTTCCAAACAGGTCATTTTCTAAGGTAAAAGTGGGAAGAATAGATCCCTTTGCTCCTCCAGACAAAATCTTCAATATCCATCTGGAGTTCATTACATGGCCAGAAAGCTTTAATCAGGTAAGAGACTTGGTTATCTGCCCTAAATCATTTTAGCAAATTTAAAACAAAACAAATCAAAATCCCTAGACTTCAATAAAAGTTATTTCTTAGCTTAGTCATTGGGTCACACTCAACTTCCTGGTGCATTTGTTTCCTCTTATAAGAAACACACAGTCTTGGATATGACTTTCTGTGATCTCTCACACAATGCTCAAAAGTTCTCAGACTTGAAACTAACTCTAGAGAGTAAGCAGCAAATTATTGATTTGAATTTTGGTAGAACATAAGCAAAGTTCTATTCTAAACAAATATTTGTTGCTCAGTAGCTCTTTATCCCCAATGATTCCCATGGCATTTTTTCCACTCCATAGAAGAGAGCATTCATCCTTACAACACTTGATATTTTACTATCCATGTTTTGGCAATAAAGGCTTACTAACATTCCTTTTCAGAACTGCCTAAATCTATGCTTGGATGGATTAAGAGACAGATTTATGAGGGTTGTTATCATTCCCCTTGTATCACTTTTAGAACTCTGATTCAGTAATTGTCTCTTGAAGAATACAACAGGATTTTTTTATTAGCAGACCAACTTTACTGAAATTGCTTGGACAAGTGTCAAATTTGGATGAATTGAGATTGATATAAAAATTGTGGTCAATATTTGGACAGATATATACATATATACAGTACATATATGTGCCATCCATTCTTATGTTTAACTAATTCTGCATGAAAGATTCGCTACTGATTGTTTCAGGTTTATTTACTAGAATAACTCTTACTTTGTTCTATTAGATTGGATTGTTGCTGAAACATTTCAGTTATTGATCAATTAATTGATCAATCAGTCAACTCTAAAGCAAGCCTGCTTTTGTGAATGCGTGCATGTGTAATGCATTTCTAAGTATCATCACACACCATATGTTTTTAATTAAATACAAAATTCCTGATCTGAACTGTAATCTGCAAATCATATAAAGACATTTTAGCCATGATTTTGGAGTAAAGTATAAAGATCTTATGTCTTTTTCCCCCCCCTATGCTCTGCTGCCTTCCAATAGTGTTAGGCTGCAGCTATAGCTCTCATATTGCCCTAACTGTGATGGCCAGATATTGTTGTCTATAGCACATGGGTTGATGGATATTAAATTCTATTGTAGGTTTTTCACTTATCCGAAACATCGTATTTATAATTAATTAATTAATTAATTAATTAATTAATTAATTCGTTTTGTATAGCTGCCCATCTCATCAGAACTTATTCTGGGTGGTATAGCACAATTAGACAAAACTACAATATAAAAAGGGGGTTGATGGCTCAGCGGTTAAAAATGCTGAGCTTGTCAGCTAGAGATCTGATAGCCTGGGTTCGAGAAAGTAGATAAATAGGTATGACTTTAGTGGGAAGTTAACAGCATTCCATGCTCCTTTGGCTTATAGCCAAGCTGGCCACACGATGATGGGAATTGTTTTCAGACAAAGCTGACTCCCTCAGCTAAGAAATGCAAATAAGCACTGGCCCCTATAGTTGGACTTTACGTTTACAATATAAAATCAGCTGTTATAAAATTATTATTATAAAACGATAGACAAATATTAGTATTTTTAAAAAATAAAAATAAAAATTAAAGCATACAAACCACAATGGATAGAGAAGTCTAGCAACCACATTTCCCTGACAATAGGGGAGGGAACAGAATATTGCATAAGGCTAGTACCATGGAAGAGAATGTCTGCCTCCTGAGAACCATCAAATGTAGGCCCCTTCCAGATGGAACCTGTAACATGTCCTCTCTATGTGATCTTTATACTATGTACTTTATACCATAAATGACACTGAATTTTTAATATTGCCATGCACAATCCTAGGAATCTTGACTTTTTGGGGGCAATAGCTTTTTGCAGAGGGTTTGCATGGTATATTTCATTAATTGTTAACTACATTGAGAGATATTTCTTCAAGACAAAAGCTGCAAATATTTAGCATTTGATCAAAATATTTATCATGCACATTTTCCTCCAAGAATATTGTAGGTTCTAATAGCCATTTGGCAACTCTTTGATTATTAAACAATAAGTCTTGTCAGCATTTGTCATTCACCCATCTTAAATTGTTGATTTTCTAGCATAAAGTAAATCTCAAATCAATCTATCCTTCTATCCATCTGAATGCTAATATATTATTCTTATTTTTGTGGGAATAGGCACACCCCATTTCTTTGTGTAATGATCATTGCCAACGAGGCTATAGGAAGACCAAGAAAGAAGGGAAACCATTTTGTTGTTATGATTGCCTTCCATGTCCAGAAGGGAAGATTTCAGCTAAAAAGGGTAAGAGATATCATGTACAGAGGATTCTTTTCAAAGGAAAAAAAATAATGGGAGTGAATCAGCTTCTGAGGAGTTGTCTAGGCAGATATGCAATCCTTTCACTTGTGAAATTATTCATAATAAAAAAGTGCATGAGTTGATAAAGATACACTTCAGATATAAGCACAGGGGAGATGCAGAAAGTCACTATGAAGTACATCCAAAGAAATAACGGGACATAAAACAGACAGCAATGGCAATAGCACTTATATACCACTTCATAGTGTTTTACAGCACTTTCTAAATGATTTACAGATTCAGCACATTGACCCAACAATCTGGGTCCTCATTTTACTGACTGCAGAAGAATAGAAGGCTGAGTCAACCTAGAGCCAGTCAAAAACAAAGGAATCAAACTCCTGGCAGTGAGCAGAGTTAGCCTGCAATATTGCATCCTTACCACTCTGCCACCAGAGCTTTGAGCTTTGAGTTGCCTGTTGAAATCTCAGGAGCTGAATTCTTCCCTGACCAGCATGGAATAAATTCCTAAGAACAAAGATTTTAATCAATCTTTATTCTTGCTAACTACATGGACAGATGCATATAGTTTTGGCAATATCTGCCTTCTTTCTGGGGCTGAGAGGCAGTGAATGACCCAAGGTCACCCAACTATTTTTCATCTCAAAAGGGAGGACTGGAATTCACATTTTCCTCACTTTTAGGCAATCTGTCTTTAAGCAAACTGGCAATCAAATCAAAGTTCCCTATAATATTAAGTGAATAAACATGTATCTGACCTTCACAGTAAAGTGTCTGGATCAGAACTTTCTAGTATTATAGTCTTTTTTAATCATCCCTGACCAAAATATTTCAAAATCAGAGTTTTTCAATATTATAAATCCTGTACCAATTGTACACATACAAAACTCTGTGTATGGTTGCATATAATTTGGTTAAAGAGCTAAGTTAGAGTAACTTTTTTTTATTCCTCCCATTGATGCCATGGATATTGGGAGAGTATTTCCAATGTTATTTCCAGCAGAATTTGTTTGGGGCAGAATCAAACTACCTTCATATTAATTTATTTGTTTCTTTCATCTCATTTTCATTTTCACATTTCAGCCTGAGTGCCTCATGGTCATGTTCTGTGAATGAGGGCATTTACTGGTTAGTGTCACAGATAATAAATAGATTTCAATGGTTAGTTTAGGCATAGATAATTTTTCTCATGTTCAAGGTCAATGCCCAACCCACAAAAAACTTGACATCAGACGACTACTTGGACTGATCCATAAATATTTTCTCCTTAGCAACATCCAAGAAGTTGCCTTAATTTTCCTCCTAGGTCTGAGAGAAAGTAACAGGCCCAAGGCATGGAGATGGTTTTCAGGTCTAAGGTAGGGCTGATAGGTACACTGAATCGGCTTCACAAGAAGACTAAAACTACTTTATTATGATTGCTTATAATAGGAGAATTTTGAAATTCTGGTTGTGCTACAACTCTTCCCTCTTTTTATATCCCAATAAATTAAGGAGGTTTCTGCCTGAGTTACTTCCAAATGTTATTTCATCATTCTGGATTTTTTTTTTAAAAAAAAATCAATCCCTTATGATGTTTTGCATATTTTTCTTAAAGTCATCTTCCTTACTCTCTACACTACTAGTAATTCAGGACTTTTAACCACTATACCACATGGGTTGTCATGTGAAATGACAGCATACCATGAATAAGGTTGCACTCATGGCAATGAGTGTACAATTGGGAGACTTGAAAGATAAGATTAAAGATAGATCATCAAGGAGAAAATCTACCTAGGTGGTTATTATGATTTGAAAACTGCTTGATGGCATATACTCAATCAGTCAGTCAAAATAAAGAGCTTCCTTATAAGGGATTTCCATCAAAGCTTTCTAAAACTAAAACCCTGTTCATCCATTCCTGGCCAATAGATATGCATTTATAGTAGAATCACACAATTTGAGATGATGGGATAAGATGGCATGGTTGTATCTATTCCACACAGATGATGCAAACAATATTGGCAGACTGATAGATTACTTCCCATATCTCAGCAGATATTTTGTAGGCATAATCTAATTGTTTTCTATTAATTAATTTGTTTGTTTGGCCTCATTTTTATTTTCATGTTTCAGACTAAGTACCTCATGGCCATGTTCTGTCAATAGAGGATATATGATGATTAGTTTAATGGATTATAAATTGTTCTTTGATGATTGTTTTTAGATACAGCTGACTGTTCTCCATGTCTGGAAGATCAATACCCAAATCACAACAAAAATTCCTGCATTCCAAAAGTCATAACTTTCTTATCATATGAAGACACTCTGGGAATAAGTTTGACTGTTTGTGCTCTTTCTTTTGCTTTCATCACATCTTATGTGCTCAGGATCTTCATTCAATACAGGGACACTCCCATTGTCAAAGCCAACAACAGGAACCTCACCTACATTATCCTCATCTCCCTTCTACTCTCTTTCCTTTGTGTCTTGTTATTTATTGGGAGACCAAATAAATTTGTGTGTCTTCTTCGACAACCAGCTTTTGGCATTATCTTCTCAGTGGCAGTTTCCTGTTTGTTGGCCAAAACCATAGTGGTTGTCCTAGCATTCATGGCTAGCAAGCCTGGGTCCAAAATGAGGAGATGGGTGGGGAAAAGAATGGTGAACTCCATTGTACTTTCCTGCTCTCTTGTTCAAGTCATCATTTGTGCATCATGGCTGATGACATTTCCACCACACCCAGATTCTGATAAGCATTCAGTGTCTCAAGAAATTGTACTAGAATGCAATGAAGGATCGGTGACCATGTTTTACTGTGTCTTGGCCTTTATGGGCTTCTTGGCCATTGTCAGCTTCTCTGCAGCTTTTCTAGCTAGGAAATTACCTGACAGTTTCAATGAAGCCAAATTCATCACCTTCAGCATGTTTGTCTTCTGCAGTGTTTGGTTGTCCTTTGTTCCAAGCTACCTGAGTACCAAAGGAAAATATATGGTGGCTGTGGAGATCTTCTCCATCTTATCTTCCAGTGCTGGTTTACTGGGTTGTATCTTTGCCCCCAAGTGTTTTATCATCCTGTTCAGACCTGAACTGAACAGCAAGCATTTGCTCATGAAGAAATAAATTTTAAATGCTGAAAAATTATTCTCAGTAACTAATGCAGGTTCTCTTAGAATGGGATGAGGTCAAACAACTCTAAGTCCATCACCTTATCATCATAGCACATTGTACCACATTAGGACAAATCCAAGTACTTTTATTACAATGTGATCAGCCTTATTCTATGTATTATTGTGCAGAATACAAGTAATCCTTGACTTAGAATCATTTGTTTAACAACCATCCAAGGATATGTTAGTGCTAAAAAAGGTGACTTACAAGTGATCCTCACATTTACAATTGTTACCGCATTCCAGCATCACATAATCACCATTTCTGACCTTTCCAAGTGGTTTCTGACAACCATTTAACAGCTTTATGCTTCACTTATCAACTGGGGTATTCAGTTAAGACCATGGCAAAAATGGCAATACAATTGGGAGTGACTTACGTAACAACTTTCTCATTTAGGAATGGAAGTTCCAGTCCCAATTATGGTTGAAAATTGAGTATTCATTGTAACGTGACTGTTCTAAACATGTTTATATCGATTTTCAATATTGTAAGTAATGGAGATAAGGTATTTTCAAGGTTTGATAGAATTCTAATGCCACTATAGATATTGTATCTCTGGAAGGCATCAAGACATTGTCTAAGTCTGCATTAACTCAGAAGTATCAGAGGAATTAATTTATTATTCCAATTTTAAGGCGTGCACTTATATAACGACTTTGGCATTTGTGCATCACAATGGGAAAATCAACTTTGTGATATGATTGTATTTTTGCCTGTAGTAAAGCTGCTTACCAATATCCAAAGAGCTGTATTAATGAAACAAACTTGTAAGCATCTTGAAGTCAGGATGCTTAAGAGTCTATTTCCAATAATCCAGGTCTTTGGATATTGAACAAAACTCTAAAATTTGCAGTGAAGTGTGGTCATGTAGAAAAGAGAGCACTATTTTATTTATTCTTTCTTGTAGTTTCAACCTCCACCTCTGAGAATTCAGTACTTAATTCTTTGGAAAGCATATGTCTGTATTGTACACAATTTTATTAACTTTACACATGGGTGACTAGGTGGATTATAATGTTGAAATATCGAAGCTCGTAAAAATGTTCTGAGGAGTCCTCAGCATTTTCTCCCTCAAGGAAGGCTTCAAGCCATGATTTTGAAAAGAATCTCACATTCCATTTTTCACAATCTATCTTCTAGATATGCCAGATTATGGCTATAACTACCATCATGGTATAGCTGTGATAATCATTATTTACTGTACATGCAATAGATATAATTCCTGTTTATTGCCAATCTACATCTCTTTCCAAATGAAATCATTACAATATATATTGCTGATCAATAGTCCATTTCAAAACTGTAGGTTCTTCAAAATGATTGACACCCCTAGAAATTTGTTATTTTCATAATGCTCCAATATGCTTCTGCTTCATTTGTACATAGACACATTCTCTTTCTTTGCATAATACATTAACTTCTCTATGGTGATATATTGCCCAACCTTTTTGGCTCTAGATTGTCATCTATGGAGATTCTCAGTCATCCATGTCATAGTTATCCCAAAGATGTTTTTTTCATGAGGCAAGAAGCTGAAGAAGCTTCTTAGATGAGAAGTGAAACATCTTCAAAGCATCTTTGGGATAACAATGACCTGGATGACTGAGAATCTCCATAGACATTTAGCTATGCACTAAAAGCTGAAGAAGCTTCTTGGGTGAGAAGTGAAACATCTTCAAAGAAAAGCAAGAAAGTCCAGTTGCCTCATGAAAAAACATCTTTGGGATTCTAGATTGTTGACTACCAAGCCTAAAATGACAAAATGAATGAGGAAGTGAGGTCCATTGCATTTTGCTGCTCTCTTTTCAAGTCACCATGTGTGCCTCATAGCTGATCACATTCCCATCATTCCCACATTTTTATAACTACTCAATGTCTCAGGAAAATGTAGTGGAATGCAAAGAAAGATTTGGGACCACATTTTATTGTGTTTTGGGCTTGCTTCATGGACTTCTTGGCCATTGTTGACTTCTTATCAGCTTTTCTAGCCAGGAAATTACCTGATAGTTTCAACACAGCCAAATTCATCACCCACAACATGTCTTTGTTCTGCAGTGTTTGGTTTTCCTTTATTTCAGCCTACTTTATCATTGTGTTTGGACCTGAACTAAGCAAGAAGCATTTACTAATGAAAAGAAAGTACTGAAAATTAAAAGGAAGAAACTGAAACTTCATAGTCATATTGAGAAAGGTTTTTAATATCATGAGGAAATTTTAGGCTGGTGGTAACCAAAGAGAAACTCTATTCACAGATTTAGCCAGAGTCTTTTTTATTTTCTTTGGATTTCAGCTCAGCTAGATAGAACTGAGAAGATCATTGGGATCTTGTTTACTTTCAGAAAGGCTGAAAGCATCTTGTTAAGGATGCTTCACTAGGAAGGGTGACCTTCCTCACTTCTAAGAATGAAATAGAAGATAGCTATTGCATCATCTTGTCTCTTCAATTGCCTCATGTTTGTCACATTTCAGAGTTTGAAATATTCTGGTTCCCCCCGCCTCAAATAACACAGAGTTCCAAATACAACTTTAATACCATTTAAAAATATGTAACATGAAAGTAAGTTTCTCACTTAGCATCTATTATTTGGATTATTTTCTATGGGAACAAACTTTTTATCTTTGTTCTTCCTTAGTCCATGCACAAAAACTGGCATTTGCTAAGATAGAATAAACATGTTTTTTTCTTTGATACCTTTTTGCAAAATGTCTTATGCTAATCATAAGAAACATAAACATGATGTTTCTTGTCATTATTGAATTAACATCAAACTTAGTTCTCTCCTTGTCTCAAGAGAGCTACCATAACCATCAAAACCAAATCAGAACTGAACTGTGTGCAATTCACAGCTAGACTTGGAGATATTGATACAATAAACATTTCTATGAGATCTGAGAGAACTTGTAATTATAAACAAATTAATTCAGGTAATTATCAAATTAATCCCAATTATTTCTGCTTCTTTTACAAGTCCCCGGGCAAGTGAGATATGTTAAACCAAATTGTAATCAAAGATGAAGGGGTACCATTCTGATCTGGATTGGAAGAAACATTTTCCATTAAAAATGCTTATTTGACTATAAAAGCCACATAAACCAGCAGAGTAGCCTTTCAAATGAGGGTATGCTATTTAGCAAAGAATTCAATAAGGGATAACGTGAAGTCAAAGAAAGTGATACAAAAAAGGAATTATGTCATGCAAGTTTTCTATCTTGGTGATAATGGTTTTGCCTGGTGTGCTCTGCAAAATTCCTCACTTGAATTGCATCACCAGTGATCCTCTTCCGATTCTTCATAAATACCATCAGTTAGGAGATATCATCATTGGAGGAATTATGTCTCAGATCTACATATTTTCAAATACAATAACCTTTCAGGAACGACCTTCTACTGACCTTTTTTATAAAAATGAGTAAGAGGCATATAAAATATATTAGAGAAAGTTTTGCTCTGTTCTGTCCGAACCTTCTTTTGCTAATCTTTCCTTCTACTGTGTCTCTCTCATAAAGGCATAGATTGACTATCCAAGTGTCCATTCATAAACATTGCAATTGTTTAAGAATGTTTGGATTATGAGATTCAACCAAACATTTCGATATAAAATTATGTGCAGTCTCACCATGTAGAGTGTGATTAAGTTCATATTTGGGTATTTGTGGTTTGGATGGTGAATTTCTCTGCTCATTCTCTGGTATGGTTTAAAATGCTTTATATGTATGTAGCTGCTGAATATTAATGAGCGCTCAGGGTCATCTTGAACCATGAGATCAGTGGCAAATAAATTTGATAAATAAATAAATAAAATGAAAGCTATATGAATCAATATTTCTTTCATAGCTATTTAAATTGGATAAAATGACTACATGATACTTATTAGTCAGAAATGTTATTGCTTTGTAATATATGCCATCTTTTGAACAAACTCATTTCAAGTCAGCCTCTACACTTCATTTCAGGGTGGTGACTCAGCTCTACCAACACATTTTATCTTTGGCATTTGCTGTAAAGGAGATCAATGAAAATCCTCAGATTTTGCCCAATTTCACTCTGGGCTTCCATATCTATAACAGTCATTTTATTGCAAGCTGGACATATCATGCCTCAATGGAACTCTTCTCAACCCAAGGCAACCTCACCCCTAACTATAAGTGTGATACAAAAAACAATCCAATATCAGTCATTGGAGGACCTAATTCAGAAATATTTATCCACATGGCAGCTATCCTGTCAATTTACAAGGTTCCACAAGTACAAAATTTTCTTCTCTTTTTAAACTTTATTTTCATATGCCATCATTCATAAACACACACATACTATTTTTGGTGTAAATATAAGTTGTCATCCAAATAAGCACTCTAATTAAAATAATGAAACTTTGATTTTTATAAGCAATAAGCAAGTATTTATTAAAATATTTTCATATTAAAAATATTTCAGAGGGAATAAAACATGATACCAAAGAGTCCCTTAGTAGGGGCAGCCTAGAGCTTTTCTGTTTTAGCTCATAGTCTGATCAAAGCAAGATTAGTCTCTAATATTGGCTAACATGGCAAAACCAGAAATAACTTTAACTTGATCTCTAGGATTTCTCTGTAGGAAAAATGCATGTAATTTGATTATTTTGGGACAGAACTAAGTGATACAGGCAGACAAGATTGCCACACCTTTATATATAAATTATTCTAATCCTATAAAGGTTTGGAAAAGATATAGAAATTATCCGTCTTCTGTGGAATGTTGTCTAAGGGTAGATGGAACCATTGTTTGATGAAACTAGCCAATTTATAAAAACAATCAGCAAGAGGAATATTATTTATAATCAGGATGAAACAACACTATTCAAAGATTTCTTGTTATTACAACATGCTGCACAAGCTAATGTTTGCTTATAGTAAATGTATACTGAGTTATACCATGGCCAAACAAGGTGGTCTTTGCTTATTCAGGCACAAAATCAATGTCCATTCATTGATGCAACAACATTAACAAAAAACCATACCAGCTGAAACATAATTCTCAACCTGATTTAGATAGATATTTTGCAACTTCTCCATGTAGGGCTGAGACAGAGCATCCAAATTTTTATCTGTTTTTATCTACAGCAGAATTATATTGCCATCCATAAAAGAGTATTTTGGCTTAAATGTCTGCAGTTTGACATTTTTGTAAGCTTTATACTGATTATTGATTGATTGATTCCATATCTTCAAGTGATTCTTGACCTCTGGCAACTTTCTGGACAACTCCATACAGCTTCCTTTGCAAGGCTTTTCAAAGTAGTTTATCATTACCCTTTTTCTAGGGTTTACAGAAAACAACCGGCCCATGGTCAATCAGATACTTTGTGCCTAAGGCAAGATTACAACTGATGGCCTTCTGGTTTATAGCCTGATTATCTAGAATAATTTATAGACATTGCAAATGGAATAATGACCTTCATTACAAAATGGTATACTGTAGCTAATAACCCTGATTCATCCATACTCACTGAATCTAATTAAAATTGAAACATTTAAACAATTTTCAGATCTCTTTCCCATGCCCTCATCTTTCTTTCTTTCTTTCTTTCTTTCTTTCTTTCTTTCTTTCTTTCTTTCTTTCTTTCTTTCTTTCTTTCTTTCTTTCTTTCTTTCTAGTTCACCTATGGTTCTGCTGCTGAGTTAAGTAGGAAAAATCAGATTGCTTTTTACCACCAGATGTTCTCTAATGTTAACAGACAATATAGAGGAATTCTCCAGTTACTCTTGCATTTCCAGTGGATGTGGATTGGGGTATTGTATGACAATGATGACAATGGAGAGAGGTTTCTCCAGAATGTTGTTCCCATGTTTTCTCAAAAAGGAATCTGCTTTGATTTCATTGAAAGATTCCCAGTAATCACTTTTGTTGATAACATTGATAAGATGGTGACAGAAGGATTTCAAATATACCATGTTGTAACTGAAAGCACTGCCAATGTTTGTGTTATTTATGGTGATATTAAGACCATGGTATTTATAAGAATGTTTCCCACCATATTACAATATGAGAATGTTGCTGAAATGGCAGTAAATAAAGTTTGGGTTATGTCAGCTCAGATGGAGTTCACATCTCTTCCCTTTCAAAAGCATGAGAATATAGATTTCCTCCATGGTGTTCTCAGCTTTGCAATCCATTCCAAGGAGATATTAGGATTCCAGAAGTTTCTTCATATGAGAAAACCTATCTTGGAAAAGGAAGACAGAAATGGTTTTATTCAGCCCTTCTGGGAGGAAGCATTCAAATGTTCGTTTCCTGGATCCACACTGGATAGCCAAGCAATAGTGACCTGCACTGGTGTGGAGAAGCTAGAGACACTTCTTTCATCTATTTTTGAAACAAGCATGACTGCCCATAGCTATAGTGTCTATAATTCAGTCTATGTTGTGGCACATGCTTTATACACTATGCTTTCCTTGGGAGTCACGAAGACAGCAAGGATCCATAAGGGAAGACAGATCCTTCTCAGTCAACTTATCTGGAAGGTAATAGTTTACTCAAGATGATATAATAATAATAATAATAATAATAATAATAATAATAATAATAATAATAATAATAATAATAATAATAATAATAATAATAATAATAATAATAATAANGCGCCTTGGAGAATAGCTTGACTCCCTCTTCTTTGTGGCAGCCCCTGAGATATTGGAACACTGCTATCGTGTCCCCCCTCGTCCTTCTCTTCATTAAACTAGACATGCCCAATTCCAGCAACCGTTCCTTATATGGTTTAGCCTCCAGTTCCCTAATCATCTTTGTTGTTCTTCTCTGTACTCTTTCTAGAGTCTCAGCATCTTTTTTACATCGAGGTGACCAAAACTGGATGCAGTATTCCAAGTGTGGCCTTACTAAGGCATTGTAAAGTGGTATTAATACTTCACGTGATCTTGATTCTATCCCTCTGTTAATGCAGCCCAGCACTGTGCTGGCTTTTTTGGCAGCTGTAACACACTGCTGGCTGATATTTAAGTGATTGTCCACTAGGACTCCGAGATCCCTCTCACAGTTACTACTATTGAGCAAGGTACCCCCTATACTATACCTCTACATTTGGTTTTTCTTGCCTAAATGTAGAACCTTACTTTTTTCACCACTGAATTTCATTTTGTTAGATAGCGCCCAGTGTTCAAGTCTGTCCAGGTCCTCCTGTATCTTAAGCCTGTCTTCTGGAGTGTTGGCTATTCCTGCCAGCTTGGTGTCACCCGCAAATTTGATGAGTTCCCCATCTATCCCCTCGTCCAAATCATTGATGAAGATGTTGAAGAGCACTGGGCCTAGAACAGAGCCCTGGGGCACCCCACTACACAGTTCCTTCCATGTAGATACAGTTCCATTGAGGACCACACGCTGAGTATGGCCAGTCAGCCAGGTACGAATCCATCTGGTGGTGATGCTGTCTAACCCACATTTTTCTATCTTATCAAGTAGTAGGTTGTGATCTCCTTTATCAAATGCCTTACTGAAATCCAAGTAAATTATATCCACAGCATTCCTCTGATCCATTAATTTTGTCACTTGGTCAAAGAATGCAATAAGATTTGTCTGGTATGATCTGTTTTTGACAAACCCGTGTTGGCTTTTAGTAATGACTTTGTTTGCCTCTAGGTGTTCGTTGATTCGTTGTTTGATTATCTTTTCCAGAATCTTCCCAGGTATTGAGGTCAGGCTGACAGGTCTGTAATTTCCTGGATCCATTTTTTTCCTTTTTTGAAGATGGGAACTACATCAGCTCTTTTCCAGTCCTCTGGTAGTTCCCCAGTGCTCCAGGATCTTTGAAAAGATGAGGGAAATCATCTTGAGGGAGATATTCTTTTCCCTTTGCCATGTCATTATGAGGTTGCAGGTCTTTCAGCTTTTTGAGAGGGATCAGATTAGGGTTAGGGTTATAAATATAATACTTTTATTTTAATGTTGCAGTAACAAAATCTTGCAAGTCTGAGTACATATTTTCCCCTGCATAGATTGTCCCTGTGACTATGTAGAGCAGACCAGGAGGAAGCTAACCATCAGATTGCAAGAACACAAGGAAGTGGTCAAATGAGGAGGCCCAAACTCATTGGTAGCCTCGCACTGTAATGAACAAGGTCATACATTCAATTTAGCAGCAGCTACTAAGGTTGTTCCATAAGCAGGCACAAAAACTTCCAGGTAGGTGATTGAAGCCTGGGAATCAGACCCTTCATCAGTCAACAGGAGTGCTATTTACCACAGGCTTATCAAGTACTTAGGAGACAAATGCTTGGCAGCACAAGCCAACAACCGCCAATGATTTAATAGCCAACCATCAGCACTCCAAATCAATAGCCACACACAACAGGCACTATATAAATAGCACACACAGAACAACTCACAGTATATACTCTGCTAGAGAGAAATTCCCTGAAGGTGAGCTTCAGCATGAGTCTGAAAGCTCAGAAAACCAAACTTCTGGTCCCGGTGACTGACCCAGATTGGATTCTGCAACATTATCCTGCAACATTATTCTGCAACTCTTATATTTGCCTTCATTCATTTCCTCCCATGCTCACTCCTTTTATTTTCAAGAGAGCCAGAGTCATGTCTGAAACACTTTCTCATATTATTATTTTTTACCTCAAACTCAAATTTATTTTATCTGACCACTGTCTTGGTTTTGGCTCTTCCTTTGGTTCCTTCAGGATATTCCTACTGCCCATTACAAAGATATGGATATAAGTTAATGACAATCATCCTAGAAAGTCCTAATGTATTCATGCAAAAGTGTTTCAATTCATGCTCCATAGCCATTTCCTCTTTCATTGCAATACCATTCTGATTCGTGTTATTTGCCTTCTTCTTCTGTTTAACATGGAGTAGATCTTCTTTAGGGAGATCAAATTCAAATGGGGAAAGATTAATGCCCTTTATTAATCATTATTATTATTATTATTATTATTATTATTATTATTATTATTATTATTATTATTATTATTATTATTATTATTATTATTATTATTATTAAGGTCTCCCGCCTAAGTCATGGGTTGGACTAGAAGACCTCCAAGGTCCCTTCCAGTCCTAGGATTCTAGGATAATTACGGTGAATTTGTTCAGGAGAGTTAAAGATAAATATAGGACTGTCTTTATATACTGATGAAATGCTTCCTTTCCTTTCCTTTCCTTTCCTTTCCTTTCCTTTCCTTTCCTTTCCTTCCCTTCCCTTCCCTTCCCTTCCCTTCCCTTCCCTTTAACTCCTTTCTGTTCCCCTTCTTCAGCTCAACTATTTTGTGAGACATGTCTGCTTTAATAACAGTGTTGGAGAAACACTTTACTTTAATGCAAATGGGGAACTGGAAACTGGATTTGATATTATCAACTGGGTTATATTCCCCAACCAATCCTTCTTTAGAGTCAAAGTTGGAGAGGTACAACCCCTGTCTTCTAACAAAGAAATGTTCACTATTTCAGAGAAAACCATAATGTGGACACACAGGTTTAATCAGGTAGGCTTATGTCACATATTGCCCTATTGCAATTAATATAAAAAGTTGTGCTCCCACATTCTACATTTACTCTGACTTGGCAAAAGATAAGTGTTGCTTGACGCATGAATTGTAAAGGGAACAACAAGTATTATCTCTTCCTTCTATCTCCCATCTTATTCATGGGAAAACTAATTTTCAGTTGCTCTGCTAGGCAGGGATATGAAACATTAGTATATGCTGTAGTCAAAACAAGAGTTTTGCTAAACTGAGGTTATTACAGTGATTGTCTCTCCTTTGATAGACTAAAACCAGTCAGCACAAAACTTTATAACTGCATGAATACAATTTGAATCCTGCTGCTTCTCTTCTTTTGGAGGCAAAAATGTAAATCGTGTTGCATTTTTCTAAGATGTTCATAAGAACATCAACGTTTCAATGTTACTAGGAACAGATTTTTTTTTAAAAAAAATAATTGCATGACTTCTATCCTCAAAGAAAAATGTGGTAATCAAAGAAGTATTTCGAAAAATCAGTCAGAGGGTTTCTGATTACATTCATAGCCAATTCCTTCTAAGGAAATTAGAATTTTTCTGATTTGGAAAAAATAATGATAGAATTGATAGAATCCTATACAGTATGTGTGATTTTACATTGACTCATTAAAGTTTCCAGAAACATTTGAAAGAGATTTTAATTTTGTACACCAATGGGAACTATATTTACATTAAATATTATTTATAACAATTCAACATATTCATGAAATTTTATTCTCAAAGACCTTAAATTTGATATTTGGACCTAGAAATCCTAAAAAAAAATCCTTCTAAGAAACTACAGACAATGAGAACTAAAAATACAGTTGATATAAACATTTATAAAAGAAGAAAAATGTTTTTATGCCTTTTCTGAATAGACACAGCCTCCTTCTCTTTGCAATCCCAGTTGTCATTCAGGCTATAGCAAGGTCAAGCAAACAGGAAAGCCATTTTGCTGTTATCATTGTATACCTTGTCCAGAGGGGAAGATTTCTAACCACAAGGGTAAGTAATTCTATGGACAGAAATGACTTCCATTACATGCTCCAAGCAAAAATAAGTTCGAACCTTGTAGACTAAGATGTGGATATACACTTAGTGAATCTTTAGTACTTGCACAATTCTCAGGGGTTTAAAACAATCTTAGTTTATCTTCAAATATCTTATTAGAAGAAGTCTATGGTGATTCTCAATCATCCAAGTCATGGCTGTCCCAAAGGTGCTTTTCAAAAGACAAGTGGACTTCTCACCAAGAAAGTCCAGTTGCCTTTTGAAAATCATTTTGGGCCATGAGAAGAAGCTTTTAACCATAAATGACTAAAATGGAGAAGGAAAAGGGAAGAAAGTTGCTAGATTGGACATTAGATAATTTACCAATCCAAGTAAGGCCATCTGATCTTCTTTTACTTATTTAAACTGGACATTCATTTGGTCTGACTGTGGAAGTTTATAAATAATTTGAAACAAAGAGACAAACAAATAAATATACAAATAAATTGCTCAGAATAGAAGAAGGAGGATCAGTTTCTTTATTTGGCCCCACTTTGATGGTAAGTGGTATTCTTCAAGATTTTATAAAAATCTGTATTTGATTGGTCTAATACAATGTTCTAGATCTGGGTTTTTTTTCCAGACATGGACAACTGCTTTCAGTGTCCACAAGATCATTATCCAAATGAGGAGCAAAATTTTTGCATTATAAAATATGTAACTTTTTTGTCCTATGAAGAACCTTTGGGGATCACCTTCACCAGTTTTATTATTATTTTTTCTATCATTACTATTTTGGTGCTCTGGCTCTTCATTAAACACAATGACACCCCTATTGTGAAAGCCAACAATGAGACCCTCACCTACATTCTTCTCATCTCTCTCCTGCTCTCGTTTCTCTGTGCTTTGCTATTTATTGGTCGGCCTCATCAATGGACATGTCTTCTTCGACAAGTTCTATTTGGCATTATCTTTTCCATATCAGTTTCTAGCATTTTGGCAAAGACTATCGTTGTAATTCTTGCTTTCATGGCTACCAACCCAGGGTCCAGAATTAGAAAATGGATGGGAAAGAGACTGGCTGTTTATATAGTTCTTTCTTGTTCTTTTATTCAAACCATTATTTGTATTGTATGGCTATCAACCTCTCCCCCAGTCCTAGATGTTGACATGTATTCCATGCCAAAGGAAATTGTATTGATGTGTAACGAAGGCTCAACCATCATGTTCTACTGTGTCCTTGGTTTTATGGGTTTCTTGGCAATAATCAGCTTCATAGTGGCTTTCCTTGTCAGGAAGTTACCTGACACATTTAATGAAGCCAAATTCATCACCTTCAGCATGCTAGTATTCAGCAGTGTTTGGTTCACCTTTCTTCCAACATACTTGAGCAAAAAAGGGAAATATATAGTGGCCATGGAGATTTTTTCCATTTTGTCCTCCAGTGGTGGACTACTGGCTTGTATTTTCTTCCCCAAATGTTATATTTTGATAGGAAAACCAGAACTGAACAGTAAGGAACAGCTAAGAAGAATAACAATGGAGCAACTGAAAATTTTCTGATTGTATTTCTAAATTAGTGATGAATAAAGAAGCTTGTAATAAAGGGATACAATTTGCAAATAATTTTGTCATTGTTAATGTGGATTTTCTTTTTTAAAAATGATGTTTTATAATTAAATGTCATAAAAGCTATTTTATTTATTTAGAAAATGTATATGGCCACCACTCACTCTCCATGAATCTGGAAGGTTTACAAAAAAATAAAATAAAAACTCAAAATACAACAATAAGAAAAATAGCCTCCCCCCCAGCAACAACAATCAGTCAAACAAGCCACTTGATGGGCTCCATACTACCCTTGGTTCCTCAGGTCCATTGGCAAAACTATGTCTTCAGGGCTTTGAGAAAGAGTGTCAAAGTGAGGTGCAGTGGGTAATATCTGTGGGTTCCAAAGGAAGGGACCTACCACAGAGAAGTCTCTTCTTCTGGGTCCCACCAGGTGTATATTGTCTCTTTTTGGGAGACAGGACCCATAACATTCCCTGCCTCTGCACTCTGGTGGATCAGGTGAATGTAACTAATGCCTAACAAAGTATGAGAAAATAGAAAAAAATAAAAGTTCAGAAGCTGTAGATAAATGAAAACAAATAAAATAAAAAGTAGAAAAAACAACAACAAAGGCAATAATAAAATGCTTTCTAACCTTCATTCTATTGAACATAAGCTACTATAAGAACTTTTCACCCTTTGTTAAAGTTAGAACTACTTTTTAATGTAGCTTGCATAAATATTGTGAAGTTCATCCAGAAATCCTAACCAGACAAGGTGATTTTTATTCAATGTTTCTTGCATCTGTGTTCATACAAATGTATACTACAAAACAATGTTCACTAGTAAGGTAGGAAATGTCAGTAAGGTGAGTCTGAGTTTACAGTGGAATGTAGGAGTCACCACAAGAAAGCCAGTTTTTCAGCTCTAAAGGTATAGTGAGAAAATTTGAGGTAATCTTAGAAGATGACTCACCCTATGCTGAATTCCAAATATGATATTAACATAAACAAACAATGACACACATTTTAAAAACAGTTTTATTTTCATGGAAAAAAGATTTGTGTTATTCAGTTCTGACTGATTAGCCTATAATATTATGTCAAATGTTTCTCAATTCCATTATCTGGAATAGGAATTGTTGACATAAAAAGAAAAGGAAAGATGGAAAGATAGAAAGATGGGAGGGAGTGTGGGTGGGAAGAAGGAAGGAAGGAAGGAAGGAAGGAAGGAAGGAAGGAAGGAAGGAAGGAAGGAAGGAAGGAAGGAAGGAGAGATTATTTTACACATATTCAAAAAGAACCCATAACTACTCAGTGGTACATTATGATAAAAGACTAATTCTAGGGAGATTACTTTTATAATATCTACATTAATCTCCCTAATTCCATTATGCTTCCTTTATATTATTTCTCTAGCTTTTTAGAAGTGAGATACTTTAGCACAGTGATGGCGAACCTTTTAGAGACCGAGTGCCCAAAAACTGCCCCCGCCCCCACTCCACCCCCTGCCCCACCCCCGCTCTGCCCCATCCCCTGCCCCATCCCCGCTCTGCCCCCCATCACCTGCCCCATCTGCCCACAGGACCACTCACCACCTCCAGGGCCCGCCACAGATCACCCAGGCAGCCCAGCAGCGCTATGGCAGCCACACCCTCTGCCTGTGCCCTGCAGCATCAACTGCATGATGGGGTGTGAGGGCAGAGTCTTGCCTACGCTTCCTGGCTGCCATGTCCTTGGCTGCGCTGCTCCGTGTGGGCCACGCTCGAGGGCGACTCTCCTTCAGGGGGGCTGCTGGAGAGCAGGGGGTCGCAGGGGGAGGCAAGGCTGGGGCAATGGCACTTGTGCCCACAGAGAGGGCTCTGAGTGCTGCCTCTGGCACCTGTACCATAGGTTCGGCACCACTGCTCTAGCATTTTCAAAATGAAATATCTTTGAAATGATCCCATCAGCAATTTCATTTTATAAATAGCTAAATTATTATTTTCTACATTTTAGGTCACAATTGGTAATCTGTTTTCTTTCTTTATTCAAATCTGTCAAGGAATCTTAGCCACATAATAATTAATTTTAAATCTTTATCTGAAAACCAAATATATGTACATATGAATATAGACTAAGGATCATATTGCTAATAAACTAAATGCAAACTAACAACAGCAAATGAATTCTACATGATGATAAATATCCTTGTGAATTTTTTAAAAAAGAAACTTAAATCCTGGCTATATTCTCCAATTCCTTATAGACTACATACTTGATTTGCTTTTGCAGGGGTGTCAAACTTGCCACGTCACATGATGTGTCGCAACGTATTGCAACTTTTTTTCCCATTGCCGGAGTTGGAGTGGGCGCGGCTTCCACATGATGCATCCAGCCCGCGGGCTGGCAGTTTGACATCCCTGTGCTAGTGGATTTAACTAACAGTTAGTGCTCAATGTGTCATTTTTGTCACACTTTACATGATGAAAGATTCTAATTTCACTCCAATCCCATTGAAAAGACAATGAAACCCCCCAAAGTTTGATATGGAACACTAAGGAATATCTTGTATTTTTATTTATTTATTTATTTCTAAGGACCTATGGGCTTTTTGCTAATCCAGGGAGCATGGATGGAGATGTTTTTTGATGAAAGATGATGAATATATTCCTGTGATATCTCATAGAACTTGTGATCTTGAGTAGGTTATTTTTCTGGCAATTATCAAATTAACCGCAATTACTTTTGCTTCATCTCCAAGTCTTAAGGGAATTTCATTAACCACCAGGAAAAGTAAAACCTTAAGAAAAAAGCATTGTCATTATTTGCTCTATAATATAAAAAAGCAATATATATATGCTGTATATATGTTGATGTCCTTTAATGCATTTTAAGGGTGCTGTAAACCAACCGAGTGGCCATTCATGTTGGGCTGTGCTATTCAGCCAAGTATTTATTACAAGAAAAAATTGGGCAAATGAAAGACTGCAAACAAGGAATTCTATCATGCAAATTAATGAAGCTTTCTGTATTGTATTAATGCTTTTGTCTGGGGTACTCTCAGAGGTCCCTAACATGAATTGCATTGTTAGTGATCCTGTTCCAATTCTTCATAAATACTATCAATCAGGAGATATCATTGTTGCTGGTATTTTGTCTCAAATCTATATATTTTCAAACACAATACACTTTCACAAAAAGCCTTCTACTGACCTTTTCTATGATACTGAGTAAGATGCTCATGTATCTAAAACTAATTATTCAAATATGGGTTTGATGGATTAATGTTGGTTCTGTATTGCATTAACCCTTTTTCTGTGAAGACTGAAAATGTTTAAGAATATGTTGGATGTAAAAGTCAGTTCAGCAATGCATTGGGAATAATGGTTCTATTCAATCTCATTCGTATAGATGAATTCATAATTCTGATATATCAGGAGTCCCCTATTCATTAAAAATTATTGGAGCAAATCAGTTTCATGACTAAATACATTTTAATTTAATGAAATGCCTATATATGTGTGAACATAACAATCTTCCCAAATATTTTAAAATATCTTTTATCTGGTCATTTATACTCAGATATAAAGTTGTCACTGTTTCTAAAATGAACATCAACAGATTGAATTTATTATTAATAATTTCCTGGAAATTTAATTATTCATAACAATACACTGCTTATTTAATTCAGATTTTGTAATACTTCTATAGATAGGAGAAATCTTGTTTAGGCACAGTCTTTATTATGATGGTGATGATGATGATAAGTATTAATTCATGAGCTTAATTAAGGAGAAGAGGAGACAATAGCCTGGTGCAGGTGACCACTGAATCTATCACTGATATAAATTGAGTGTTTTTTACACTTGCAGAAAGGTTCTGTAGAATATAGATATAATTGCAGCATGAAGCAGAAAGGCAATAATGATATTGAATTGTGTATCCTTGCATTCTTGGCAATTTTCTGACGTTAAACAATGTTTTTTTAAAGTAGTATCAGTATTGGGTGGTAAAAATGGATTTAGATGTATTCAACAACATTTATCAGCAACCATAGGAGGCAAATTATGAGTATAACATGTTAAAAGCTGTGAGGTGAATGACAATGTCTTACATCTCTTTTTCTGAAATCAATTTACTAAAATCAATACGTAATTTTCATTTCAGAGTAGTGACTCAGCTCTACCTACACATTTTGTCTATGGCATTTGCTGTAAAGGAAATTAATGAAAATCTCCAGATTTTGCCCAATCTCACCCTAGGCCTCCATATCTATAACAGCAATTTTATTGCAAGCTAGACATATCATGCCTCAATGGAACTCTTCTCAACACAAGACAAGTTAATCCCTAACTACAACTGTGACACAGAGAACAATCTAGTGTCAGTCATTGGAGGACCTAATTCTGAAGTCTGTATCCACATGGCAGCCATCCTGTCCATTTACAAGATTCCACAAGTAAGTGTTGCCTCCCAGATTTTAATTCAGTCTATATGTTTAGTTACTATCTATCATCTACATATCTATCTCACACTGAAATATGCACAGAGATAGTTTTGTTAACTGGAAATTAAAAATGATAGAATCAAGATCACGTGAAGTGTTAATACCACTTTACAATGCCTTGGTAAGGCCACACTTGGAATACTGCATCCAGTTTTGGTCACCGCGATGTAAAAAAGATGTTGAGACTCTAGAAAGAGTACAGAGAAGAGCAACAAAGATGATTAGGGGACTGGAGGCTAAAGCATATAAGGAACGGTTGCTGGAATTAGGTATGTCTAGTTTAATGAAGAGAAGGACGAGGGGGGACATGATAGCAGTATTCCAATATCTCAGGGGCTGCCACAAAGAAGAAGGTGTCAAGCTATTCTCCAAAGCGCCTGAGGGCAGGACAAGAAGCAACGGATGGAAACTAATCAAGGAGAGAAGCAACCTAGAACTAAGGAGAAACTTCCTGACAGTTAGAACAATTAACTAGCGGAACAACCTGCCTCCAGAAGCGGTGAATGCTCCAACACTGGAGGCTTTTAAGAAGAGACTGGACAGCCATTTGTCCAAAATGGTATAGGGTTTCCTGCCTGAGCAGGGGGTTGGACTAGATGACCTCCAAGGTACCTTCCAACTTTACTATTATTATTATTATTAATATTACATTTGAATAAATAGTTTTATAGAAATAAGGAGAAGTGTCATGTTTTTAAGGACAAATCATTTTCAAATACATGTTTCTTTCTTTTGAGCCAAATTGTATAACATTATGCCTTTCCTTTAAGTTCAGGATAAATTCTCTCCCTTTTGGAACCAATAGGATAGAATAAAATACAGCAGTTCCATTTTGCTTTACTATAAATTGGTAATGAAGAACATAGATTTTCCTTTAGTGAGAAATAAGCAAATCTGTAAAATATTGGGGGATGTTTTTGTTTGGCCATAAATGAAACAAAAATATTGCACTATTCCATGCAATGTTATACTAACTGAACTCCTTCTCATGGCTAAAGGCGGGACCTGAACTCATAATTTTCTGCTTTCTAGCATGATGCCTTCTAGCATTTTTTTTTTTTTACATTTCTGTTGTGTGATCTCATTGATTACATTCAAGCAATCACCACTGTAATATGCAATTGTTCCTGAGTCTCTGTCAATATTATCCTCAATGACACTAATTTATATATTCTGATATATTCATTCATTGCATTTACCATATTTTCCGGCGTATAAGACGACTTTCTAAACCCTAAAAATCTTCTCAAAAGTCGGGGGTCGTCTTATACACCCAGTCATCTTATATGCCGGAAAATATGGGTATTCTATTTTATTCCTTTACACATGTGGTTTGGCAAATTACTCATCAAGTTTTCTCTCCCCCCCCCCTCTCTCTTGCTCAAACTCTATATTTTAACTGGAAATGTTGGGGTCATCTTATACGCCCAGTCGTCTTATACGCCAGAAAATATTTCCGCAAACATATCTATTAACTGGGCAAAACCGTCATTCATCTTCACTTTTTTTCTTTTACTTTCAGTGACAAATAATGTATTTATTTAATGTATTTCAGATATTAATTCATGCTCTAATCTTTCATCATAAGTTGGTCTTATAGATATTTACCCTTGTTGGATTTGGTTAATCAATGTATTTTTGGGGTGCTTGTTGTTTGAAATCATGATAAAATGCATTTGCATGGAAGATCACTATAATTAAGCATTTTTATTTGAGGATGTTTTCTAAAAACTTAAAAACACCTAATGTTCTCCTATGGCTTATGTAATGATAGAAACACCATGAGGAGGAAAAATGCCCATTATTCATTCAAGGACTTTTTCAGTAATGTTATTCACTTATAGCAAAACATCTCTGCATGTTTAACCTATAGGACTTTCATAATCTTTTTTATGTAAAAAGGAAATTGCATCTCAATCACATTCATGTAAAAAATAAAAATAAATATTTATCTAGATATAAATACTCAAATATATTTTTCTTATTTTTATAGTTCACTTATGGTTCTGCTTCTGAGACGAATAGGAAAACTCAAGCTGTTTTCCAGCACCAGCTTTTTCCAGATGTACAAAGACAATATAATGGGATTCTCCAGTTACTGTTGCATTTCCAGTGGACATGGATTGGAGTAGTATATGACAATGATAACAATGGAGAGAGATTTATCCAGGATGCTCTTCCTATATTTTCTCAGAGAGGAATCTGTTTTGATTATATTGAAAAATTCCCAGTAATTACATCAGTTAGTGACATTGATAAGATGGTGACAGAAGGGTTAAACATGTATGGTGTTGTAATTGGAAGTATTGTTAACATATCCATTATTTATGGTGAAATTGAGACCATGATATTTGTCAGACTGTTTCCCATTATATTGAAATATGAGGATGTAACAATACATGCAACAGGAAGGGTTTGCATTATGACAGCTCAGATGGATTTCACATCATTCTCCTTTCAAAAGAATGAAGACATAGACTTTCTTCATGGTGCCCTGTCCTTAGCAGTTCATTCAAAGGAGGTCCTGAGATTCACTGACTTTCTTCAGTTGACAAATGCTACCTTTAAAGGAGAAGATGGTTTCATTCAGCCTTTTTGGGAAGAGGCCTTTGGATGTTTCTTTCCTGAGTCCATGATAAACAGGCAAGGAAGGGTCTCCTGCACTGGTGAGGAGAAACTGGAGAATCTCCCAGCATCTATTTTTGAAATGAGCATGACCTCCCATAGCTACAGCATCTACAATGCAGTCTATGCTGTGACATATGCTTTGCACAACATGCTTTCATTTCAATCCAAAAAGAGTGTCCATGAAGCAACCCAAAACCTACTGGCTCAACACCTGTGGAAGGTAAAGTCCTGGACAATCTGATTTCATTTATTTATTTATTTTCAAAAAAAGTTTTATTGTTTTACAATAAAAAACGTTCAAGCATAAGTAAACACAATAACAAATATAAACCCCCCACCCACCCCCCGGACTTCCCAAACCAAATCCCAGGATAATATTCATGTAAAAGTAAACAAATACTAATATCTCTAACTCCACAATATATCTTAATCTACACAAAAAGATAGAAAAGGTAAACAAGATAAAAAAATCTAAAAAACCTAAATTATATTCTACCACACTATGCTTCTCCACAATATATCTTAATCTACACAAAAGGATAGAAAAAATAAACAAGATACAAAAAATCTAAAAACCTAAATTATATTCTACCACACTATGCTTCTTCTGAATATAAACAATCTATCTTCTCCATATTGATAAAAATTGTTCATTCGAGTGGCTCTTCAAAAAAGCCGAAATCTTAGCCATTTCAGCAAGATACGAAACTTTCAATCTCCAGTCTTCCATTGTAGGCAGAATTGGACTCTTCCATTTCTGGGCTATCAACAAACGAGCGGCGGTTAAACAATAGAGCATCAAGTTTGTTTCTTTTACATCTAAATCTTGCACAATACCTAAAAGAAACAACTGTGGAAGAAAGATAATCCTTTTTTTGAAAATTTGCTGTAAATTCCACCACAATTGTATCCAAAAGGCCTTAATAACCTTACAAGTCCACCACATATGAAAAAAAGTTGCATCTGGGTGTCCACACCTCCAACACTTGGATTCATAATTCGCATAAATACGAGACATAGTTGAAGGGTCCAAGTGCCATCTATAAAACATTTTATAAAAATTCTCACGTAAATTTTGAGCTTGTGTAAACTTCACATTTCTCACCCAGATTAGCTCCCAAGTATCCATAGGTATTGTGTCTCCTATATTCTGAGCCCATTTAATCATACAATCTTTGACTAATTCAGTTTCCGAGTCCAATTCTAACAAAACATTATATATCCTTTTGATATGTTCTTTAGCTCCATCTCTTACTTGCTTCAAAAAATTCCCGTCTTCCCTACCAAAAGTAGTCTTTTTATCAATTCGCCATCTATCTTGAATTTGTCGATACAAAAGCCAAGAAAAATTTGGATTATTTTGCTTCAAAACTTCTATTGACTTTAAGCACCAGTTACCACCACCACTCTGGTATAACAAATCTTTGTATGTAAGTCCCTCCATCACCACTCCTCTGGTTATGGTTTGAAAAATATGTGATGGTATCACCCAGAGTGGTAGCTTAACATCAAACTTGAAAAAATATTTTTGCCAAACTCTTAACAATGCAGTCCTTATTATATGATTTCTGAAGGTTTTATCAATTTTTTTCTGCATAAAAAGATAGGCATGCCACCCAAAATACAAGTCCCATCCTTCGACATTCAAAATCCCTTTGTTGGACAAATTAATCCAGTCAGTCATCCACGTTAATGCACAAGAATCATAACAAAGTGTCAAATTTGGTACTTTAAGTCCTCCACGTTCTCTACTATCTTGAATAATCTTGAATTTAACTCTCGCCTTCTTGCCTTCCCAAATAAAATGATTCAAATCTCTTTGCCATTCTTTCAAGTTAAGTTCATTTTTTAAAATAGGTATCATCTGAAATAGAAAAAGAAACTTAGGCAAAATGTTCATTTTAATGGCCGCTATACGACCCAGCAAAGAAAACTGTAGTTTTTTCCACATTAATAAGTCCTTTTGTACCATTTTCCACAACCTTTCATAATTATTCTGGTACAATTTCGCGTTGGAGGATGACAAAAAAATTCCCAAATATTTGACTTTATTAACCACTTCAAATCTTGACATTTGCATAAGTTGATCTTTGTCTCTTGCAATCATATTCTTTGTAAGAATTTTAGTCTTATTCACATTGATTTTAAATCCAGCCACTTTACCATACTGATACAGCTCTTGTAACAAAGATTCCAATGATTCAATTGGTTGAGTCAATGTAAAAACTAAATCATCAGCAAAAGCTTTAAGCTTATATTCTTTAGTAGAAATCTTTAAGCCTTTAATCATTGGAGATTCTCTAATTCTGGACAACAGAATTTCCAAAGAAAGTATAAATAATAATGGAGAAAGTGGACAACCTTGTCTGGTGCCCTTTAATATATCTATAGATTCTGTCAAATCTCCATTAATAATTATTTGAGCAGATTGTTTTTGATAAATCACTTTTATAGCTTTCTTAAATTGATTTCCAAAGTTCATATAATCCAGCATTTTGTTTAAAAATTGCCAGTCCAGTTTGTCGAAGGCCTTCTCCGCATCTAGGAAAATAAAAGCCGATGGCACTTGATTATTCTTATCCAAATATTCCAATAAGTTTACAATTTGTCTAATATTGTTCTTCATATATCTTCCAGATATAAAACCAGTTTGGTCATCATGTATATAATATTGCAATATCTGCATCAGTCTATTAGCCAAAATTTTTGCAAAAATTTTATAATCCACGTTCAGCAAGGAAATAGGTCTGTAATCCTTAAGTTCCAAAACCTCCTTCTCATCCTTCGGTATCAAGGATATAAAAGCTCTTGTCCAAGACTGTGGTATTTGTTCTCCCAACATAATTCTGTTAAAAAGTATTTTTTAGGGTTGAATCATTTCAGCTGACAATGATTTATAATAAATTGCTGTCAAGCCATCTGTGCCAGGGGCTTTACCAGCTTTCAGTTGTTTAATTGCATTTGAAATTTCATCTATAGTAATCTCTTCATTCATAAGTTTCTGTTGATCTGATGTAAGTTTATATATTGATGAAGATTGTAAATATTTATCAATGTCCTCGATTTTTATACTCCCTGAAGAATATAAATGTGAGTAGAATTCTGTAAATGCCTTCTTAATCAATTCTTGCTGATATACCTCACGACCCTTAACCAAAACTTTGGATATAATTCTGGCTTTTTGTCTCTTGCGTAATTGGTAAGCCAACCATCTCCCTGGTTTATTTGCGTTAGCAAATGTATTATGTTTAATATACTTCAGATTGGTGGCTACCTGATCAGCAATTAACATATTAAATTGATCCTTAAGCATTTTGATAGAAACCTTCAAGTTAGTATCTGTTGGTCGGTGAGATAATAATTTTTCTTTAATCCCAATTTCTTTTTCCAAGTTTAATCTACTCTGGATTTGCTTACGTTTATGCACGTTATTCATAGAAATTAGCAAGCCCCTAATCTGATTTCATTTAGATCAAGTTGGTTCATAGAAGAGATTCTAGACTAACTAGAAAAGACTTATACTTCCACATTTCTTAAGACCATTTTGTAAAGTAGCTCAAGTGGTTGGAAACTTCAAAAATATGAGAGCCGAGTGGAAGCTGGTTCACAAATGTGGCTGGCATCTTCAGAGGCAAGGCGATCTGCCTCATAACAGTTACCACTGAAACAATCTGTTGTCTAAACCATGACCCTAATTTTATTATTTAATTAATTAATTTATATGTCCAATGTCACTATCTCAGGTGACCCTCAGTAGCTTAAAATAGTATAAAAGCATTAATATGTAAACATTAAAAGCATTAACGTTAAGATGAAAAAATAAAAGGTGAAAACCGAGAGCAGAGATGGTACAGGAATGGACTTTTGTATCTCATTCAATCAACCACCTTCAGCATAGCACACCCCCATAGCACACACCCCTGAAACCAACTGCCAGAACCAGTTTTTAAGGCTCTTCTGGAAGGCCAGAAGGGTGGAGGCAGATCTAACTTCAGGCTCTTTCCTTTGACCCCACTAGCTGAAATTCTTTAACTGACAGGATCCAGAGAAGAAATTTTCTGCCAGCATGAGTAGGGTGGGAAATCGTATTAGAGCAAGATGGTGTCTCATGCAATCTGGTCTCATATCATGAAGGGTTTAAAGGTGATAAATCAACATCTTGAATTGGACCTGGAAGCCAACCAACAACCAATGCAGCTTTCCTAACAGCATGTTGCATGTGCCACCCTAGGGGCTCCAGCTAGTGGTGGGATTCAAATAACCAGTTCTCTGCATGGATGCAGGTCTGGGCCTCTGAGGCCTAGAATGGACTTCCAGAATTGACATCCATGCATTTCCTCTGGGCCATTCTAGGCCTGGGAGGCCTCCTCCAGGCCTGCCAGGCCTAGAACGGATTTCCAGAAGTGACATCCATGCATTTCCAGCAGGCTGTTCTAGGCCTGGGAGGCCTCCTCCAAGCCTCTGAGGCCTAGAGCAGACTTCTGGAAATGATATCCATGCATTTCCAGTGGATCGTTCTAGGCCTGGGAAGCCTCCTCCAGGCCTCCCAGGCCTAGAATGGACTTTTGGAAGCAGTGTGGGTTCAGCCAGTTCTCTGAATTCAACAAAATTTAGCTACCGGTTCTCCCGAACCAGTGTAAACTGGCTGAATCCACCACTGGCTCCAGCTATAGCTTCTGAATACTCTTCACAGATAGCCCCATAATAGTAATCCAAATGGAAGATTACTAAAGCATGAGTTACCGAACACAGAGCCTCATATTACAGGAAATGATGCAACTGGTGCATAACATGAAGTCCTGGGAAGAGTTTTCTAGCTATGACTGCCACCTACTCTTTGGAACAGGAGTTATGGGTTTAGGAGAAACCCCAAGTTACACAAAAAATCTGTATGTGATAGGGCGACTCCACCCAAAACAAAGGATGATAAATCCCCAGAACCCATAGCCACCAGGGTTCAGCTGAAGCCTGTTGTCCTATATACAGACCCCCAAAGCCTCCTGGCACTGTGAAAGGGCAGCCACAGCAATATTGGATCACCCAAGATGTAGATGTAAAGTTGAGTGCCATCAGCATACCAATGGTACCTCATCCTGTGATGTTAAATAATCTCATCCAGTGCTTTTATGTAAATGTTAAAAAGGAGTGGAGAGTATATCAAGTTCTGCAGCACACCACACAGGCTGAATCTCTTGCTCCCTATCAACACCAATTGGGACCAGCCTTGAAGGAGGGAGTCGATCCAGCACAAAACTGTGCCACCTAGCTCCAACTCCCTCAGCCAGCTGAAATTATACCATAGTTAGTGGTATTAAAAGCCCTCAAGGACTCAAGGAGAATAATGATAGATGCATTATACCCATCCCACTCTTGCCAGAGATCACAACAAATGCTGATTCTGTTCCATAATGGCCTGAAACTTGATTTAAATGCTTATAGATAATCGATTTCTACCACCTTGCCTAAAAAAGGAAGGTAAGAGACTGAATAAAAATTGCCCAGGCAAATGGGGTCCAGGGGTGATTTTTGTTTGTTTGTTTGTTTGTTTGTTCGTTCGTTCGTTCATTCGTTCATTCGTTCATTCGTTCATTCGTTCATTCGTTCATTCGTTCATTCGTTCATTCGTTCATTCGTTCATTCGTTCATTTGTTCATTCGTTCATTCGTTCATTCATTCATTTATTGGCTGCCCATCTTACCTCAAGGTAACTCTGGGCAGCTTACAATCATCTTAAGGAGGGAGCAGAACAAAGTCTCCTTAATTGGTGCCAGGAACACTTATTACTTTAATGAAGTTATTACCTGGGCCCACCTGTAAGTTACCATTCTGGAAATTTTCATTGAGCAACAAAGACATGGATCTAATAAATCAGTACTTGTGCTGATAGTTCTGAAGTCCCAGTCTACTTCTTCAAGCTGTTCCCAGATAACTGAGTAAGTACAAACCAAGGCAACTCTAATGGATATGATCCATATTTCATTTCTAACTGTGAATGGATCCAAGCAGTGTTATCCCTCAGGTATATTAAAAATTCCTCCCCACAGGTTTGAAGATGTCAATTGAGCCACCTTTCCTTAAACATTAGTGGGTGACCCTAAACAGGGCCATTGAGTGACCATGTAGATGCAATAAGCACAGAGAAATAATGGTATTTCACTGCTTTTACTGCCACAAGATAGGCTTTAATAGTGGCTCTAAACTGTTTTTTGTCAGATTCATCCCTTGTTTTCCTCCAAGAGAGCTCCAATAATCTCTTGGACCTTTTCAACATCCCCAACTCCTCCAGGAACCATGGGGAATATCAGGAACAATGGCTTGTTCAGGGCTTAGGCTGCTTTCTGGTTCCAGGCTGTGGCCAGAGCCTCCACAGGACCTGCAGCAGATATTCCTCAACTCCCTTTGGTACTCAAGTGGATCCATCAGACACCAGGAGTGGTACATTTGTATAGGTACCATCTCCCTGCAGAGTGGATCAGTACAATATAATATCAGAGACATCTGGACTAGGGTCTGACCATGACAGAGGGGATATTGACACAACTTCAACAAATCATATCCAGGGTATGACCACTATCCTGAGTCTGCTATGAATGATCTGAGATAGGTCCATGACTTCCATGGTGACCATACACTCCCGAGACTCTTCCAATGTCATCCCCAAGATCATAAGGCTGGGGAACCTCAACACCCACCCCAAATTGCCCTCCAAGAACTATGGCATAAAGGTTGCTATGCAGCAGGGAGGCTGGTACAACAGCAACAGTCCCAACTGATTCTATGAGCCCAGATTGAGGAACAGGATCTCACATTTGGAAACTCTGAAAGCAGAAGAAATTTCTAGATGACAACTGCTCTCCCTCCCCTGCCCCGGGTATTTTGCTAGTGCCAAACCATAAACCCTGAAGCCCAACATGACCCAACAGATACCAGCCATGAAAGCTAGTATTGCTTCACAGACTGTCATGTGAACCCGATTTTCACAGTGTATAACATGCTTTTCCTAAATAGGATGCATTCCTATTTAACTCTTCTATAGTAGTTCTATAGATGTTGACATTGTGATTCCAAGCAGCTTCAGTTTTGCATGGAGAAATCTGTCTGATCAGCCATAGAAAGACATTGATGCATCTTCATTGTATCCAATACTCTACTTCTGATAGGCTATTTGCCTGAGAGGTCCTATGAATTGACACTTAACCATACCAGCACAATTCACATCCAATTATGTATATGCATGAGCTTGCATAGCAACATGTATCAAGCAATCAAAACTTGAGGCCTTTTCAGAAAATGAATTTATTCATCCTATTTTCTCCTTTTTCTCTAGAACACCATTCTAATTCCTGTTTTCTGCCTATATCTATTTTGTTATACATGAAACAAACTTAAATGGAAAAGAGCAATGTCGTTAAATATTTATTTATTTTATTTATTTATTTTATTTTTTAGATTTATATCCCGCCCTTCTCCTTGCGGACTCAGGGCGGCTAACAACCGAATAAAAATACAAAAATATCAAACTACAAATTTAAAAAAATAATTAAAAGGGAAATATTAATAATTGGTCTAATTAAAATTATAATTAAAACCCCCTCTAAAAGTTTCCCCTAGGCCAGTCCCGCAAGCTGGAATAACCATGTCTTAAGGGCGCGGCGGAAGGAAGGGAGATCAGGGATCACCCTGATCTCTGGGGGTAGTTCATTCCAGAGGGTGGGAGCTCCCACAGAGAAGGCCCT